CCCCCCCACTCTTATATAAGTATATTTACATATGTACATTCCAGTCTTGTATCTGTATGTTTTTGAGGTGAATAAAATTACTAAATCTTGCTTCTTAAGGGATAGAGGCAGGCAAAAACTTAGCTGTATGAGCACAAAATGACACAAATGACTAATGATATTTGATTCTATAGACAGTGTTCAAACTTTTCTAGGATTTAAATGACTTTAGGTGAAGTGTGAATGCTGATTCTGGCCCAATGGGTTTGCTTACATACTTATGTTACCGGTCTATAGTTTTAAAAAATATCTAAGCTTCAAAAGTCAAAGTGCAACAAGTATACTATTACGCAAATCATACTCTTAGCTCACTTGCAATAGGAATACACGAATCAGTAAAATAAAACACAAACAACAGCAAAAAAAATTGCTTTTGAAGGTCATTTAGCGATCAACAGGAATAATTTGTGTAAGGCACGTAACCCTGCCTGACCATTTCATAGCCGGTATTCAGATGGCAGTGTGAACAGCCCAAACGGTTAGAAGACTCCACAGTTCCAACAGAAACCAACCAATACAATGGCTTTACCAATGGTTACATAAAAACTAAGTTGAAATTACAATTAAAAATAAAATTTGAGGTGCTTATTTACTACTAACGTATTAAATTCTGAACAAGAAAAATCTATCATCTGTAATCTCCCTACATTAGGGCTCAGAGGACTAGGCCAAAAATTTTCAAGGTTTTAATCCTAGTTCTTCAAATGTAGGATACTACAATCTGCAAGCCCACAAAATAAACTTTATTATATCTTCATGCATACTGTTAGCTCTGCCCAGAATATTTTCTCATCATTGAAAGTTGAGAGTTCATATCAAACCTCTAGTAAATTTAGCCCAGCATAAATTTTATCCCATGAGACATTTCAACCAAAGAAAAAGTGACCACTTCCCATGTAGTTACTATTCACACTAACGTAGGACCTATTTGGGGGTGGGGTTGTCCTGACAGTTAAGTTATAGCAGGAGGCAGTCCTGCTTGTTACATAAAAAAAAACACAACCCAAAACACCCGTGGCTGCCATCGCATGGACCCCATCTCATAGGGACCCGATGTAGGGTTTTGGAGTCTGAAGTCTTTACTGGACCAGACAGCCCCATCTTCTTCCAGACGAGCAACTGGTGATTTGAACGACTGACTTTACAGTTAACAGGGCAATGCCTAACCGACACTGCCACCAGAGCTCATTTGATTTGTACACAGTAAGTATACAATACAAATTTTTCAAATGCAAAATATTTTTGTAAAACCAATGTGAGGGAAGTTTATTTTGCTTGCTAACGTTATAGATTCTGTTATTTTAAATTATACTGTATTGTAGCCTAGACAGAAATAACTCATCTGGGTACCTGCACATTAACTATAATGTGTTCAGTACTATGCTCTTGGCTGTACTTATTAGACAATACATACATTTCAATAACAACCAGGAAACTGGTCAACAAATGATAAGTTTTTAAAACCTTAGATAATCTTCACTTTAAACTATCAAAAAGTCATTCATTACTTGATATCACTTTAAAATGCTCACTGACATAATCAATTTTCATGTTTGTTCAGTATAAATTGGGTTTATACTTGTAAAAATCGGATGTTCTGTGTAAAAATGACATACACTTTGTGAACTCACTGTAAACTTGTCTTCTCTTTTCTTCCGATAGCCAAAGGAACTTTTCCTAGAGGGGTAGAAAGTAAACAACTGTTAATTTCCCCATTTAAAATTTCTTGCACACATTCAAAGAAAACTATCAATTCAGTCTTTATTATTTTGTAATCTTTTAACATGACTTTTGATTTTCTACAATCCCAACCTTAAAAGGTTTAAGTAAAATAAAAACAAACATTTATTATTGAGGACTGATACTGATGTCTATGAAGGTTTTAAAAAAAGAATGGAAACCATTTAAACAAAAGAAACGACTTGATAGATATTTAGGATTTTAAAATAAAAGATCTGACAATGTGAGGGCAAACTAGAGAATTACATAAAAACCTAGAATGTTTAAGGGTCAAATGGAAATTCAACCACTAAAAAGCACAATAACTAAATTACAGTTCACTATTATTTAGGTTTAATAGCATGGATTGCCAGATGTAGCAAAGAAAAATATAGGATGTCCCATTGAAATGGAATTTCAGAAAAACAAATAATTTAACTTCAAGTGTGCCTCTTCTTAACGGAATTTAAAAGATGTTTCTACAGAGGCAACGAAAGCAAGAATACCATGGAATGATTATGAAACAAAATAATCACCATCTGAAAATTCTATTCCCAGTAACAGCATCTTTTAAAAAGGTTGCTGGTCAAACACTATGATAAACATTATTATTGCCACTGAACTCTATACATGAATACTGTTGAACTGCCAATGTTACATATAAACTTGACACTACAAAAAAACAAGTGATGGCAAAGGAGGCAATATTTTAGATTTAAAAAATTATTCACAAGCACACCAGCCTGTGTGATCACGAGGTGCCGAAGGGATCAGTTATCAGGCATCAAAGAACAAAAAATCAGATCATTGTGTGCTCACCTCCCTGATACGATCGCTGAAGACAAATGTGTGCATAAGCAAATGTGGTGAAGAAAGCTGATGGTGCCCGGCTATCAAAAGAAATAGCTTCTGGGGTCTTAAAGGCTTGAAGGTAAACAAGCAGCCATCTAGTTCAGAAGCAACAAAGCCCACATGGAAGAAGCACACCAGCAGCCTACGTGATCACGAGGTGTTATTGGGATAAGAACAAAAGATCTTATTGTGAATGAGAGGGGGGGAGTGCGGAATGGAGACCCAAAACCCATTTGTAGGCCACTGGACATCCTCTTACAGAAGGTTCTCGGGGAGGAAATAAGCCAGTCAGGGTGCAGGGTAGCAAGGATGAAAAATACAACTTTCCTCTAGTTCCTAAATGCTTCCTCCCACCCCGCTATTATGATCCCAATTCTACCTTACAAATCTGGCTAGCCCAGAGGATGTACACTGGTACAGACAGGAACTGGAAATCCAGGGAATCCAGGGCAGATGATCCCTTCAGGACCAGTGGTGGGAGTGGTGATACTAGGAGCGGGGAGGGAGGGTGGGTTGGAAAGGGGGAACCGATTACAAGGATTTACTTGTGAGCTCCTCCCTGGGGGGCGGACAACAGAAAAGTGGGTGAAGGGAGACGTCAGACAGGGCAAGATATGACAAAATAATAATTTATTAATCATCAGGGTTCATGAGGGAGGGGGCAGCGGGGAAGGAGGGGAAAAACTGAGGAGCTGATGCCAGCGTCTTAGGTGGAGAGCAAATGTTTTGAGAATGATGAGGGCAATAAATGTATAAATGTGCTTTACACAATTGATGTGTGTATGGATTATAAGAGTTGTATGAGCCCCTAATGAAATGATTAAAAAAATTATTCACTAAGTATCAAAATTTCAGACAACTTATTTGTATCTTTTATTTTAACTAGAAAGCCTAGACATACTGAAACATGGAAGAAAATACAAAAATGAGTGTGAGAGCTATATGAGACATGGTGAAAGAGTCTGAAATAAACTTGGAGTCCTAGAAGAGGTTCACGAATCAGGAAAAATCTTTACAGAGAAAAGGCCTGGGCAAGGAGCCCTGGTGGTGCACTGGTTTCAGCACTGAGCTGTTCTGAGAAAAGCTGGTGGTGTGATCCACCTAATGGCTCTGTGAGACAAAAACCTGGTCATCTGCTCCTGTAAAGATGACAACCAAGAAAACGAGACGAGAATTTTTAATTTGTCACAGGAGACTTCACTAAGTCAGAACAAATTTACCCAATGACTACTGCTGGGAAATTTTCACAATTGGCTCAAAAAATTCAGGATAAAAACAAAACAAAAAAGAAGAATTTCAAATGTCCATTCAATTGGAATGAAACGGTGTATAAAACTTGATATTTTTAAAAAATGATAAAAAATGTATCAGAGGCATAGTTGCTTATGATCAAAATTTAAAACCCACATTAATTTACTCTATTTTCTCTTATTAATAAGCACATTCTCACACAACTACTGAAATGGCTTACACTTTACCACTAAAATCATGGCGGGTTTCCAAATGTCAAGAACTTTCTATACATACTTGACAGCGTAAGACATGGTCTAGTTCCAACCACGCAAAAACATCTACAAGCAGTGATGTCATGTCATGCCATGCATTTGGTATAAAACACACACACCTAGCAAGTATTTCATATCAGGCACCAAGGAGACAAAGATGGGTGAGACAATTTACATGGTTTATTTGGTCTAAGAACTCACCTATTAAGTTCAGGTTTTATTAATCCCTTTGCCATTTTAATTGAACGCATAGACTTGCCTGAAGCCTTGTTTTATAAATATTGGAAAGGAATTTATCCATCATCTTTTCTAATCACTTATTTTATGGAAAATAAAAGATTAAAATTGTCAAGGATGGCAGAATTAATTAGAATGACAACTCAGCTCTATATACCAAATAAAGGTGCTATATGGTCCCTGAACTTCTGTGCCAGATGAGAATGGCATATGGAGCCTCTGACCAATCCAAATCTTTAGTATTCTTGAGCAAAGCCATTCTTCTTCTGGGAAATAACTCTTGGGTTTCTACTGAATAGGTCCTAGTAGCGAGTAAATGCCTGAATTGCGGGATATCAAATGATCATGAGAGTTGAACTACCTATCATGAACTGGGCATTAAGTCAACAAAACTGAGTAAAGATCATTGCAATTCACCATCACACAGAAACAATACATATGAAATTGAGCTTAACAAGTCTATACGACAGAAGTAACCTGCAAGAACAGATAGCTCAGATTCCTGAACCACTAGTGCCACTGCAGCGCCTGCTTTCACTCAATCTATACCAATATCCTCATTCAGTGTGCCTTATCATCCTCTAAGGAGAAAAAAAAACCTGACGCTGGATTACAAATGGACATATGCTAGTACAGTATGCCAGACTGTTATACTATTTACAACTCAAACAACAGTGCACTCAGATATGACCAAAAATAATGAGTTTACATCAATTCACAAACATGGGAGCTAGAAGTCTCATTAGATGTGAGCTTCCAAAGGACAGGTCTAGAGATTTATGACAAGGCGATCGTGGAAGAAGTATAAGATGGCCTCTTGGAATGGACAGAGTAGGAAGGTATTTGTTTTGCAAGTGTCTCCTTACCAAAACACGTCAACTACAGAAGGCACCCTAACAGTTGGGTGAAAAGATGATTATGTTCAGCTTCTTTCTCCAGACACTCAAGGTATACAGTACCAACTGTAGGAAGATGAAGTTATGCATAAACTCAACATTTCTTGATCAGCCAAATAAGTATTGCAAAAAGTAAAGCCCATAGAATCCACTGGTTTATCATGCATTTGATCACACACTGGTATAATGAAGACCTGTTTATAAGATGAAGTTGGGCAGTAACACCCTGAAGGAATTGGATTTTAACTAATAAAGGGCCCCTGGTCGCACAGTGGTTACTGTGTATCACCAAAGGGCCAGTTCAAACTCATCAGTCACCTCACAGGAGAAAGATGTGACATTTGATTCACCTAAGAATATGCTTTTAGTGAATTACTACAATGTGATGACACAGTCAGGCTATTCGATTCCAGGAATCAGAGAATTAGAAATGACTCTTCATTATTATACCTAATAATCTACTTGGAGAATTTAAATTTCTGCTCCCTACAACTTTGAATTCTAGTAATTTGGACACCCCCCACCCACCCCCCAAAGTACCAACAGGTGCTATAACCATAGTTTTACTGAAACAGAGAGTGAGAAACAACCTTTAGTCATTGGGATTGGTTACTCATTCCACTGAACCAACAGGCGAGGAAGTTTACTCTATGGTTGGATTGGCTGGAGTGACTAACAAGGAGTTGTTGGTATGTAAGGGATTCTATGGGCTGTCTCTTAGTATTCATTGTCTAATTAAAAAAAAAAAAAGTTAATGGGAAACAGAACTCCAAACCAAACCCGAAATAAGGAGATGGGGCAGGGTATGATGACTATGGAGCTAAGTCTTTTAGGAATGAAGGCTCAGGACCAACAACAGACATAAGGACTATAGAAGCTATGCATATTTTTCCTGGAATGCTATGTATATAGGTAGTACACACTGACCAAATTATTCTTTTCACTATCTTTATCTTTTATTAAGGATGTTGCTGATCATGCCAGTCTTTCAGTTACAGTCCTAAAGATGGTGCATTCTTTAAGTAACAGATTGTTTAGATAACAGCATAACTCCTGCAAAGGAAATTTATAGAGGTCTAAATATAGGCATGTACATTTGTAAATATATTTCTATATGACAATGAGGAAACAGATCTATGTGCATATATTTATAGGTTTAGTACTAAGGTAGCAAATGGACATTGGGCCTCTACTCAAGTTCTCCCTCAATGCAAGAACACTTTGTTCTATTAGACTGGCATTCCACGATACTCACCTTCCTGACACGATTGCTAAAGACAAAGCAGGTGCATAAACAAATGTGGTGAAGAAAGCTGATGGTACCCAGCTTTCCAGAGATACAGTGCCTGGGGTCTTAAAGGCTCAAAGATAAACAAGCGGCCATCTAGCTGAGAAGCAACAAAGACCACATGGAAGAAGCACACCAGCCTGTGTGATCACGAGGTGTCGATGGCAGGTATCAGGCATCAAAGAACAAAAAATCCTATCATTGTGAATGAGGGGGAGTGCAGAGTGGAGACCCAAAGCCCAGTTTTAGGCAACTGGACATCCCCTTACAGAAGGGTCACGGGGAGGACACGAGCCAGTCAGAGTACAATATAGCACTGATGAAATATATAACTTTCCTCTAGTTCCTTAATGCTTTCCCACTCCCCACCCCATTATAATGATCCCAATTCTACCTAACAAATCCAGCTAGACCAGAGGATGTACACCGGTACAGATAAGAGCTGAAAACACAGGGAATCCAGGACAGATAAACCCCTCAGGACCAATAATGAGAGTAGCGATACAGGAAGGGGAAGAGAAAGCTAGGGGAGGAAGGGGGAACCAACCACAATGATCTACATATAACCCACTCCCTGGAGGACAGACAACAGAAAAGTGGGTGAAGGGAGACATCGACAGTATAAGACATAAACAAATAATTTATCTATTATCAAGGGTTTGTGTGGGAGGGAGGAGAAAAAAATGAGGAGCTGATACCAAGGGCTCAAGTAGAAAAATATTTTGAGAATGACGATGGCCACAAATGTAGAAATGTGCTTGACACCATGGATGTACGGATAGTGATAACAGTTGTTTGAGCCTCCAATAAAATAATTAAAAAAAAAAACAAAAAACCCCAAAACAAAAAGGAGTATAACTCCTTTGTTGGAGAAGGTTGATTATAGCTTCACTTATATAAATATTACACAAAAGACTAAACATTATTGCTGATTGAAATTAAAATATTTGGAGACTTTATAACCAAAGAGGTAGAAAATTTTGGCTATTAAGATATTATCTTACAGTTTCAGATACTCTTTTCATACTTTTTTGTGATATTGTGGCTGGGATTCTGAAAACAGTACTTTTCATTTGTCAGGAAATGATTGTATGGCTGGAGGAGGGGAAAGGAACTTGGTCTTTCTTAGTCTAATGCTGTTTCTGTTGATGTTTCTCTGGGAATGGTCCATCATTCTAGGAACAATAGCAGATTCCAGTTTACAGGTTTCTTAATATTGTCAAAACCAGTCTCATTGTGCCCTCTCAGACACACAAGCACCACTTGACTGACACGATAGACCCTCCTTCCCCAGAGGTAACAGCACCAGCTTGGTTGGGGTCCCTTCCTTGGAAATTGGGAGGACCTCTTTTCCTTCAAACTTCTGGGGTTTAATAATCCCAACTCTTCTTTTGATCCTCAGACTGAGAGTTGGTAGCTGCTTCTTGGGGTTACTATCCTTGTATTAGCTCACTGTTCTCTTTTGCCAACTTTATATAACATTTTGTTAAAATAACTGATGTGTCTCTCGTTTTCCCAACACAGTGTCAGTTCTAGTAAATCATGCTGCCATTCTCTTATAATCCTACAGAGGTTTAATAAATGCTGACTTAATAACCACAGATTTAATGAACTACTCCTAGTTTCTGGTTTATATTTAATAATCCCAAACTGCACTGAAAGTTCATATTGTAGCAAGAAGAAAGAGGACACAGTCCTGTATATATATGTATAGGAAACTTAAGAAATATTACATATGAAACCTTTCAAGGTAGGTCAGAAAAAAAGTCTGGCCAGGTATCTTGCTGGTTCCTTGTCAGATGGGGATCGCCTGCTGTCAGCCATTAAACTAACAATTGAGTGAATGAAGCCCACACTGGTTTGGACAAAAAAGGAACAAAGCCTAGTTTTAATCTATTAATACTGAATAGGACATCATCAACCAAAAGTAAACCCATTGACCAGCCTCTTTTCTAATCTTTTGTCCCTGATGGAAGTATAAGTAACAAAAGACAAGACAGCAAGAAAGAAAAGAGCAAGTGGTACCAGTAGAAAAGTGTGACATAAACAAATCCAGTTTATTTTTATGATGTAAAGAAATGATCTTCAAGTAATGACAGCAGACACAAATATTAGAATCTCTGACCCAGGATGGGGAATATGTAAAATCTTCCATAACAATTTCCTCTTATAAATAAATTTGTAGAGCTAAAATCTAAACTCTGGTCTGCCTGGCTATAAAATTCATGCATCTGCCAACTACGCCATACTAGTCAACAAGACGAAGCAGAGCTAGGGACCAGTGGGGTTGGCAGTGGTGAAGAAGGAGGATAAGGAAAATTATACATTTACAGAAAATCCAGAGACTGACAGCTGTCCAGTTCCAAATCCTCTGCAAGTCATCACTGATAACTAGCTGAATTCCAATTATAGTTCTCATTGTAGCAATTTTGTCATAAAATGATGAAATCATTTAAATTCCTGCTCTTAGAATTGCTCATATAATTATATAAAACCTTTGATGTTTACAGCCTTCAATTTGATTTTTTGTAACATATTTCAAAATAATTATTATAAAACATATCCAAAATAAAACCCAAAAAACCAAATCCAGTCGTGAAGAGGATTCCAACTAACCGCAACTCTATGTGACAGAGCAGAGCCCCCTGAGGGTTTCCAAGGCCTTAAGTCTGTATAGAAGCAGGCTGCCTTGTCTTACTCTCTTAAGAGGTGGGCCCAAACTGCTGACCTTTTGGTTAGCAGACCAATGCTTAATCCACAGTACCACCAAGGGACCTTATTAATGTATAGGAGCGTAATATTAATATTAAAAATGTATGATAGGTACATAGTACCTGTTCAACAAAATATTTGAAAAACTCACCTTCCTCTACCTAAACCAGGAGATGATTCAAGACTACTCTGTTCCACTCGCCCAGTTCCAATCTCTCTCTTGGCAAAATTTGAAGGGTTTTGTATCCGTGTTCTAGTTTGACCTGTTTGCCTTGTCTGTGGGCTCCGGACACCATTAATTAAGCGGTCAGCAGTAAAGTTAAATATTGAAGGACTTTCTAATAATCCAGGTCCTCTCTCTGTACTAGAAATTGTATGGCGCAGATGTGATTTGTTAGGATTCCTATAAATGAAATTTTTGTATATACACAGTTATAAAATGATCAAAGCATTACATATTGAGCAGACATAATGGAACATCTAAGCTAAAATCTGCTTTCTACTTTAAAGAAAATGTTATTTAAAATAATTAACTCATATATGATCAATTAAGTGTTAATTTTCTATGTAGCATATTTTAAGTCCAGGCCCAAACTAAAACACAGACATGCACAGGTACAAGTCACCTCAGAAGCCTTTATTTAAAAAGAATCTCTATATAGGCAACTGTTGCTGTGTACCTTCAAGTTGATTTCAATTCATAGCAACCCTGTATGACAGAGTAGAACTGTCCCTAGGGGTCCTATTGCACCACCATGGCTCCTTTATAGGTATCTATAGCATAATTTTAATGTAATTCTATATTCATAAACAGTATTTTCTGTACATAATAAATCTATGCATATAATGCACACTGCATGTACAGGCAACAAATGTGGAAGGGTTGTGGCATGATTTTTTAAAAAAGCAGAACTGTTTAACATTATTTGCATCAAAATGTGGTTGATTCGATCTCTGATGAACATTAATAAATATATATCACTAAAGAGAGTCGGAAAATAGTGATCTTATTTAGCAAATGTGACTTATGGTTAGAGTTATGTGGGTTTAACAGGTTTTAAAAAGATGTATGCAACATGATAGCAACTATTGTTATAAAAATAATGGAAAAACAGTAATTTGTAATTTAGACGCATTTTAACGATTTATGGAACTTGCCTGTTTCTAGGAGGATATTGTCTGAGTGAAGTCAGAGGAGATGTTGCAGGTTTGAAGGTTGGCGACGTAAATCCATTTATAAATCCAGTATTTGGAAATGGAGTTACCTAGATTCATTAAAAAGCAAACAGATAATAAGCAAACAAAAAAAATCAGACTTCATTGTAGTTACTAGTACTGTATGTTGTGGTAACCTGGGTCAGTCCTTGATCTTTTCAGAGATGTTATGTGTTATGTCTCATTTTATACTTTAAAATATTTGAAGCTTGAGAAAATATTTTTCTAAGATTATTAATAGCTAATCATTATTGAGAACTCGCAACTGCCAGTATGGCACTAAGAACTTTTTTCTGTATTACCTACTTTAATCCTAAAGATTCAACAACAAAGATAATCGACAGGAAAGGAACTTGTTCAAAAGCACGTAGCTAGTCCATCCTTGAACAAAGGTATTATGTTTGCTTGGAAAAGTACAAATGTTTAGCTTTATGATGATAACACTTGGCATTACTGAAAATAAACAATTCTTTATTTCCAGTGGTTTTATTAAAATTCATCAAATTTCAAACCATATTGCTACTTGCTTGGTTCTATCAATATCTCACAGTCACAGCCTTCAAGGGGGCCATCTCTATGTTTGGAGCTATGATTTCCGGTAAATCTTATTCTAAAGAATAGAACCTTTACATGCATTGTGTTTTAAGGTAATTAATAATTATTTCCCATGTCACAATTTAAGATAATACATGGTATATGAATATACAAATATAAGATTCATAAGATTAGAAGGGAAACACAGAACCCTTAGGAGATTTTATGATCTTAAATATCATCTTAAAAATTAAAAATATCAAGTGAAAAATTGTAAATACCAATAGACTATTTTAAAAATCTAACATATACACAAACTAAGTTAAAACTCAGTGTTGAAACACAGAATGATTACTATAGCGTTTGGGGTTCAAATTTCAAATACTTTCTGTATAAATGGTTTTCCTTAATGGGCTCAAAGTCATTTCACTTATTGGTGTCTTCCAATATTGACCCTAAATTTTCAAGTTCCCCCCTTCATTAGGAAAACCCCCAAAAAAACTAAGTAACCAATTTGTCCTAACTAGAGCTAATAGAAAGCACTATAATATGAAAAGTAGAGGCAATTTATTAGGGCCACAATAAAATGATAGATTTTTTTTTTTTAATTGAAGCTACAAAGGAGAATGCTGGAGTGAAAGATATACTTAAAACTTTGTTAGAATTACTAATTCACTTTTGGGAAACATTATAGTCTGTAACAGTATGGCTGGCTCTATTTTAAAAATACTACTAATCACACCAGAAGACGTATTAAATCCAGACCTATATTTGAAGGCTACAAATCATGGGAAGACTAATCAAGACTAATCTTGATTAATTTATGCAATTTCACATATAGGATTCTAGTATTTGAGTAATTTTGCTCAAGAGTTTAAAAATAAAACTGTTTGATAATATGACAACCTAATTAGTACCTTTTTCATAATTATCAGGCACCATCCTTATTTCTGCTCAAAATGATACAATATGGTTTAGCGTACCATATCCCAAACTCATTTGGCCTACTCCCCGCTTTCCACATATACATTTACTCACTCAGTGCACTCTGGCAATCAAAAAACTTTTGTAGTATCGCCCATGATACAGGATAAAGTATAGATATCTTCTTTCACAGCCCTCCAGGATCATTCCAATACCACCCAGGGGTTGATATTGTCCACTATGGGAAATACTAGTTAGAGTAAGTAAGGGGGTTGGGGGTTGCAGGAGAAGGGAACTTGTCTTCAAAGAGGCAAATCAAGATCAAAGTAAGTGTCCCAAATAATTATTTAAACATGAAACAGAAGTCAAGGCCCAAAACTGATCCAGAACCTCAAGGGATCTTAATCTTTAAAAGGATAAATATGACTAGAGGGCAAACTTAGTTCAGGAAGGTCTAAACATGACAATGAAGTTTGGAGATTATTCAGCACCAAGAGTTTAGGAACTACAGATTTCTTTTAACAGGTCTTTTATATTTTGGGGGAAAGGAGAATATAAGGACTATGGGTCTACTTTTATAGAATGTAAATATTCCCAATTAGTAGTATCATTTTTAAGATTCATACAAAATAGAAACAGCTACTCTAGCTACTTATGCACATAATCTTTTAATGCACAGTGGTAAAACCCAAAAAACAGAATTGCACTAGATGCATCAAGAAACTTGCTCTGAGTTAGTGCACCTAGTGGCCTTGCCTGGGAAGGTTCTTTCTGAATTTTTCCCATACAAATAGTTTCACTCGAACCTCATTGTTTTGTGATGGCCGATTTAAGAGAACAGCACGTGGCTGTGAAATTTTGTTTCCTGCTCAGGAACAATGCTGCAGAAACTGTTGTGATGCTGAACACAGTCTACAACAACAGCGCTTTGGGAAAAACTCAAGTGTACGTGTGGTTTTCTCATCTCAAAAAGGTGAAATGTTGATGACAAACCTCATTGTGGATGTCCATCAATTTTCCAAATGTTTGAAAATGTTGACTTGTAGCACATTTGGAGTTCGTTTTACCAGGTCAGACTGTTTTTTGTTTTTTTTTAATTTTTTTTTTTTAAATCAATTTATTGGGGACAGACTGTTAATCAAGCTTTCTATTCAGAGGTTCTGAAAAGATTGCCTAACAGTGTGTGACAAAAAAAGCCTGCTTTGTGGCAGACGGGGACTGGTTTTGCCACCACGATAATGCACCTGCTCATGCAGCCATCTCAGTGTGCCAGTTCTGGGCAAAAATCATGAGCATGTCTCTCTTGCCCCACGCACCTGACTCACCAGACCTCGCTCCCTGAGACTTCTTTTTGTGTCTGTAAAGGACAGCGATTTGACAACGCAGAGGTGAAGAAAAAAACGAAGGAAGTGCTGTCAGCCATCCAAATAGATGAGTTTTAAAAATGATTCCAAGAATGGAATTGCAATGTATTTTTGCAAATGGAATTTGACAAATGTATTTATTAAATGTAATGGAGATTACTTTGTAGGTGATAAGGTTGTCTTGTAAAAAAAAATTTAAATACATGGCTTTGGGGAAAAAAATTTTTTTTATATCCCCTTGTATGGTGGGTGATAGAAATTGGGGGCAAGGAGGTTAGGGACTATTTGAGAATTTCTTCTCAATTATTACAAACACCCACTCATTTCTCTGTTCTCAGCCTGTGTCCTCAGCAGTGCCATAAGAACTATTTTCTAAATAGCATGGTTTCATTTCCAGCTTAGAAACCTTACATGAGTTACCTAGCCCACAAGACAAAGGTCCAAACACCCTTAGAACACCATGTAAGCACTTTTACAATCTGATTCTAAAAGGACACAGTGAAAGCCTCACTTCTGAGCTAGCTCAAAAATACTAATAATCACACTCATGTGTTTTTGTACACGCTGTTTATTCTTATGCAGCTTCCTTCTCCCTGATCCCTTCTGATAAACTCATACCTACCTCAAGATTAGGTCTTTCTTAATCTTTCTAGCACCTACAGCAACATACATAACTAGAGAAAAATGATTGGATCCATTTCAAATTTACAAATTCTAATTATAGGCCCTTAACATTGGTCAACAATCTGTACAGCTTTGAGGCTGTTTTGAGGATAAAACAGCGTGTGTTCAATTTTTATTAACTATTGGGACCCTATTAAAATAATCTTTCTTCTTAAAAAAATCTCTTATTTCTCTACTAGTTAAAATTTGAGATCTCTCCCATTCTCATAATATGCAATTTACACTACAGCTCTGATTATATTTTGTGTTTTACCATGGAATATACAGTTTAGGAAAGGAAATGTTAGCCAAGAGATGAGATAAACTGGGGAAAAGTTCAAGATCAGTGTTAGAGTGAATGGTTTTTATGTAATATGGATCCATTATTTCATCTCCAAATTGAATTTAAAACCCACTACATAAATTGAAGGCTCTGGTGGCAAACAATAAAAATACCTGGTTCCTACAGATAGGAACTAGAAACACGAGGAATCCAGGACAGATGATCCCTTCAGGACCAGTGGTGACAGTGGCGACACCGTGAGGGTGAGGGAAGTTGGGGAGGAAAGGGGGAAATGATTACAAGAACCTACATATAACCTCCTCCCTGGGGGATGGACAACAGAAAAGTGGGTGAAGGGAGACGTCGGACAGTGTAAGACATGACATAATAATAATAATTTATAAATTATCAAGGGTTCAAGAGGGAGGGGGAGGGGAAAAATAAGGAGCTGATATCAAGGGCTCAAGTAGAAAGCAAATGTTTTGAGAATGATGATGGCAACAAATGTACAAATATGCTTGACACAATGGATGTATGTGTATGGATTGTGATAAGAGTTGTACGCGCCCCCAATAAAATGATTTAAAAAAACCAACTGGTTTCAGGATACGTTTTAAATTTGATGGACAATTTCAAGTACACCATATATCCAGTGTCTACCACTAAGTTTTAGTTAATAAATTTCAAGTGAAAAAGAAACTTACCAAGGAGGGATCAAGATAGCTATGTGTTGTTGACCATGTCTGTGGGGTGATTAAGCTGTACAGGGGAAACTGCTGCTGGGGACTATATACTGGAGGTAAGTAAAACGAAGCTGTATAACGCTGCTGGGTATACAGGTTCATATCCAGAGGTCTAAATCCATTCTTTGGCAAAAACGTGTTTATAGCTATTGCCTTCGCTTTTATCCGTGCCTGTATGAAAACATTAAATTTCTATTAAAATATTTAAGAACATTGGTTTCACCATAAACAAAGTATAACCAATGGTCTTGCTTACCTTAATTGGTTTTCCTTGGAAAGTCTTGACTTCTTCTCGAAGATATTTGTAAGCCTAAGGGCAAAACCACCCAGAATACCTCTTGTTAACTTTACAAATATGAAAGCTAGTAGTTAATTCAACAGCTCAAATAAATGACTATTAAGTGAAAATATGTTAAGACCGGCAGCAGTAATTCTTAAACTTCTTTGGATTACAGATCACGAAAGAGAATCTGATAAAAGCAAAGGAAACTTTTGTCAAAATTCTCATAAATATTTGCATACAATTTTAGGAGTAATAGAAACATTTCCCATAAGACCACAGGTAAGAATTCTGATGGAGAGCTAAACAATGAGTACTGAGCTCTTAGTAATAATTGCAATTTGAAATTGCAATCATACAATTTAGAACAGAAAATGCTAAGCAAGAATGGAGATAAACTGAGGGCAAGATTAGGATTGCAATATTAAAAAGTCATTATTAATATAGCTTATTTTTCTGCAAATTAAATTGAAGCACTGCTATATAACTTTAAATTGTGATATGACTCAACTTTGCCTAACTACATTTAAAATGCATGTTAAAAGTTTACAGTTATTCTTATCTCTCATGCCCTTGCTCCTTATTTTTCTCTTTTATGTAAGTAAAATCCATCTTTCAAGTTATTTTTAATTTTCTAAACACTCAGTAAACATTTATACCTTCTAACCCTTTATAATATACTAGCACTCCTTTGTGCCTATTAATTTGTTTTCCCTTTTAAAGGCAAGGAAACTATATTAACTCCCTATGTCGTTTCATAAGGAGTTACTCCTTATGAGGCCAGGGGTGTAGTTGTTTGCTTATGTCACCTAATACGAGCTTATTTCTCAGTATCTGTAAGATGATGGTGTAACATGCGAAGATACTCAGTGAAAGATTATGTTCCAATTACCCCAAAACACTTTTCAAATGTAAGAACTATTCTTTGCCCAGGTAGCCTAATAGAACTTATTTTCCTAGATGGCTTATCATAAAATATCTTTAGAAAACACTATCACATGCTTTTCATATTGTTGCAAAATCAAAAATAAAAAGACTAAATCCACCGCCACTGAATCAATTCAGACTTCTGAGGACTCCGACAGAGTGGGACTGCTCCATAGTTTGGTCTATAGTCTCTGCAGAAGCAGATCCTGAGGCCTTTCTGCCACAGCAATACTAGCTGAGTTTGAACCATTAACACGGAAATCACTATTTGAGTGTAAACAGCTTGTGCCACCTAGAGATCTATTTTTACTGCTACTAAAATGGTTCAATTTAAATATCTGCAACATGGTTTTCTCTGTACTTTAATATTCATTTCAAACTTTCTACTATCAAAAGCTTCATGTAGTCCTAATAACTCAGCACATTATGTACTTCATGGAGGGAGGTGCAGGGCTGTGGTTCGAAGAGCTTACCTGTTGTGCGTCAGCTTCTGTCTCAAATGTAATAAACCAATTATCATTGTAGGCAAATTCACAGTTTATAAATTTCGGTAGATTATCTCCTTTAAAAAGTGCTTCTACTTCCTACCGGAAATAAGAGAAGCAAAAATTAACTCTTAACGATACTTTTGGCTTTCACCAAAACAACTTACTGCCCTTTTAATAGTGATGCCATCCCCACGAAGGAAGCACACTCCTTAGTGAGCGGCAAAAGGAGACACAGTAACTCCAGTCAGCAGTCAATGCTACTAAATCTGCAGGCTGCATTTTTGAAATTAAAGATTGTCAAAATATTTTGTTTTAAAAGTATTTATCATAAAAATGTCCTTTAGCTTAACTTTGTCTATTACTACTTTTAAACAAATAAGCATTTTCACTTTATTCACTTTTAATTTGTAAGTACTGAAATAAATTGTTTTTAATATAAAATGTGTAAAAGGGAATCCTGAGATGAAAAAGTTAGAGAACCACTCTTTTCAATGAGTCATTTGTTCACTGGCAATGTATGTAAATTCTGGATAAAAATCTGTTACTCAAGTATTTACTCTTAAAAAATCCACGCTTTAGAAAACCCAGAAGTAAACACAAAATCAAAATCAATAAACTAAAAAAATCCCCACAAGAACATTTTCCAAGTATTTTCCAAAGAAATACTTACTTCTATAGGGGTAGATTCAGATATTTCACGCAATATTACTATGCAACGATTTTGATTTGGCCTTACTTTTTCCCCTTTCTCATCCACTTGAACTAAAGGCAATGCTATAAATAGGAGATAAAATTAATGGTAAAACAACAGTATTATAATCAATCAATTATTGATGATATAATACAGGCATTTTAATGGAATGCTTTATACTATTATAACTGAATATGTTAAAAAACTGTATACAACAGTCAAAATTATCAAAAAGTTTTAAGCCAATCTTGGATGTTAAATATTACATGACCATAGAACACAAAAATTTAAGTCTTACAAGTAGATTTAACACTATGAAACAAAAGTTCTAAATGGTTCAAACATGAAAAATGGATTAAAATTCATTTATTATTTCTCCTTTTTATAACTCTCTAAAAGATAACTTTCCTATTTTATTTTGAAATAAAGACTCACAAGAAGGTTCCATGTATCCTTCCCTCAATATTCCCTAAAGATAGTACCTTGTACAACCATAGTAGATTGTTAAAACAAGAGATGTTGTTGTCAGGTGGGCACCAGCACATTGGTTCTGACTCAAGGATCCTGTGTACATCAGAACAAAACACCACCTGGTCCTGTGTCATCCTTACAACTGCTCTCGTTTGAGCCCACTGTTGCAGACACTGTGCTAACCCATCTTGTTGAGGACCTTCTCTTTCTCATTGACCCTCTATGCAACACCAAGCATGATGTCATTTTCCCAGGACTGGTCTCTCTTGATAACATGTGTGAAGTATGTGAAACAAAATCTCATCGTCCTTGCTTCTAAGGAAGATTCTGATTGTACTTCTAAGGCATATTTGTATTTTCTTGTGGCAATCCATGATGTTTTTAATATTCTTTACCAGCATCATTACATTCAAATGCATCAGTTTTCTCCTTTGGTTTTCCTTAGTCAATGTCCAACTTTTACATGCAAGAGAAAATACCATGGCCAGGCACACCGTAGTCCTCAGAGTAACATCTTTGCTTTTTAACATGTAAAGAGGTCTCATGAAGCAGATTTACCCAATGATCTCTTGACCATAGTTTCCAAAAGCATTGACCGTGTACCCAAGCAAGACAAAATCCTTGACAACTTCAACCTTTTTCTCTGCTTTTATGATGTTGTTACCTACTTGCCAAGTAATGAGGATTCTGCTTTTCTTTACACTGAGTTGTAATCCACGCTGAAGGCTGTAATCTTTGATCTTTATCAGTAAATGCTTCAAGTCCTCCTCAGTTACAGCAAGCTAGGTTGTGTCACCTGCACATTGCAGGTTGTTAATAGCACTTCGTCCAATCTTGATAATGCATTCTTCTTCATATAATCTAACTTCCCTGATTATATGGTCAGCATACAGACTGAACAAGTGTGGTGAGAGAATATGACCCTGCCGCACACCTTTCTTGATTTTCTAAGTCATGCAGCATTTTATTTGCATAACTGCCTCTGGATCCATGTACGAGCAAAATGAAATGTTTTAGAATCCCCATTCTTCTCAAGGCTATATGCAGTTAATGGTCTACACAGTCAAATACCTTTCCACAGTCAATAAAACACAACTACATATCTTTCTGGTATTTTCAGCCAAGATCCATCAGACATGAGCAATGATATCCCTTGTTCCACATCCTCTTCTGAATCCAGCTGAACTTCTGGTAGTTCCCTGTCAATGTACGGCTGGCAACCACCGTTGCATTATCTTCAGCAAAATGTTACCTACATGTGATATTAATGATGTTACTCTATAATTCCTGCATTGGGTGGGTCACTTTTCCTTGGAATGGGTAAAGATACAGATCTCTTCCTGTCAGGTGGCCAAGTAGCTGTCTTCCAAACCTCTTGGCGTAGATTACTGAGTACTTCTAGTGCATCATAAACTAATTCAAAAACTTCAATTGGTATTCCATCAATTCCTGGACCTTGTGTTTGGTTAATTCCCTCAGGGCATTTTGGACTTCTTCCTTCAGTACCACTGGTTCTTGATCATATGCTATGTCTTCAAATGACTGAAATGTTGACTAGTTAGTTTTACTGGAAGCTCTGCTGAAACCTGTTTACTTTGAGTGACCCTGCTGTTATTTCAAATGCCAGTGGCATAGCTTTTAGAATCACAGCAACACACACGCCACCAGATTATGACAAACTGACATATGGTGGCAACGAAGACAGGCTAAATAAAAACATTATATAAAACAACAACATCCCGAACAACTAAAATAAACCAGTACATACTAATAACGAAACAGGCTAAATAAAAACATTATATAAAACAACAACATCCGGAACAACTAAAATAAACCAGTACATACTAATAACACCCATGAATGAAGATAAAAATTTCTTACCCAGAATTTGGTAAATTGAATCCAACAATAAATAAAAATGGTACTAAGTCAATAACATGTACAGTTTATTTCAGGAATGCAAGGCAGATTTATAAATCAAAAACACAGATCATCATTTAAAAAAGCTGTTTATAGGCAGGCCGGGGCCGGGCGTTTCTGTGCGGGTCGGGCTGTGCCCACAGTAAACGGAGGTTCTGAGCTACCTGCCGCAGAGCAGGCGCCTGGACGAGTATGCCCTGGTAACTCCACAGGAGCCCCACCACCCAGTGGAAGATGATGTTCTTAAGACAGGGTCCCAGACTGTGGTGCCTGACGCTACTGCTGGCCCTCGGGACTGGGTGTCACCTGCACACGCCGCCACCACCAGCCACGCCCCCGATTTTATGTGTGAAACTATGTGGACACCTGAAATATTACCTATTACCCCTTTATAGTACAGTGGTGCCACCTGATGAAATAATGATTAGTTATCGATGTGGCCTTCCTTTACCATCCAAAACAGAGCAGTGTCAATTTGCAGTGAAGCCAATGCTATCGACAGTTACTTGATTCCTTCAGGACATACAGAATGAAGATAAAGGTGTCAAAACTACAGCAGTCTTCACAGCAGATGGCAGCAAGATTCCAGCTTCAACCTTAATGGGAGTTTTGCTAATGAATAATTTTCAAATTGGCATCAATACAATAACGTATAACGTGCACTGCCCCAAGCAAGAAGCACTGAGTAGCGAGCACGCTGCCAAGATGGACACCGTGAAGTCATTGGTTCACAGACTGTTTACAGCCATACATTTCGATGAGCATCAGGAAAGAGACGCATTTGCTGGAGAACAATGGCCACCTGAAGAAGCACCTGCAGCCCTGGAAGAGCTGAAAGCTCGAATTGAAGGTCGTTTTGAAGCCAGAATCAGCAACCTCCTGTGGCGCGGCTTAGCGCTGCTGTCTGCTCAGGGTAGGGCCCTGGCCTGGTTCACCTGGTGGGTGTACTCCTGGGACATCATGGAACCAGTTACATACTTCATCACATTTGCAAATTCCACGGTCTTTTTTGCATACTTACTAGTCACTCGACAGGATTACACTTACTCAGTTGTTAGTGGTAGGCAATTTCTTCACTTCTTCTATCAGAAACTTCACTTCTATCAGCAGGAACATGCTGATGTGGAGCAATACAACAAGCTAAAAGATGACCTCAGTGAGGCTAAAGCAGCCCTGAGACGTCTGCGACAGAGTCTCTATTTCCAATTGCCAGTGGATCAGCCTGGTGAAAAGGACTGACCTTCCATTGTAAATGTCATTGAAGTTTTCCTATTTTGCACCTTAGAAACTGGAAGTTTTTGAGTCCCATAGTTCATTTCAATTTGACTGTTTCAGTATCTTTTAGCTAATAAAAAGGTTCTTATGATCAAAAAAAAAAAAAAAAAGCTGTTATGGACTCCCAAGTCAATTCTGGTTCCAAGCAACTCTTCAGAACAGAGTAGAATCCCAAAGGATTTCCAAGGAGGTAAATCTTTATGTAAGCAGACTGCTACCATATTTCTCCCAGAGAGCCTCTCTAAATGATCAATTGATACACTAGCAACAAAAAAGCAACCAGACAACTCCTCTCCCCCCAAAAGTGAAAGAGCATGATTGATTCCATTTATATAAAAATTCTAGAATATGCAAAGTAAACTATGTCAGAAAGTTGTTTAGGAACGAGATAGAGAATGGGGAGTGGCAAAAGGCAATTATGGGAGGATGGTTGACTATGTTATCTTGACGGTGATAGTATCATGGGTATATAAATATGTCAAACGTAACATCATATACTTAAAACATACGTGAATTTATGGTTTATACCAGAGAACTTCAAAATTTTATAGGAAAAATTCCATTATCTTTCAATTCATTTCCCCATTAACATTCAGAAACTCTTTTGTATTAACCCTCTTAAGAACTCAACTAATATAATAAGTTGATCACAGGCTATTTATTACACATGCACATTTCTTTGTGCTCAAATTCTGGGTGGGAAAAAAAAATAATTTAAATTTCCATTGAAGTACTTCCTAAGAGGACAACTTTTATTCATGAATAGAAAATCCAACTGAATTCAAATAATGGTCATCTTTTCATACTACAGTTTAGTGAAATCCACAGAAGGAAAAATAACGACAACAACAAAACCTGTGTTATCTGCACAAACAAACCAGGGTATAATAGGTAGGCTTTTAGTCAGGCAATGGAAGGTTCAACCATTTAAACTTATTTAGGCAGTTTCATTGGTGGACAACAATAATTCACTGTCTTCTTGTGAAGGGTGCTTGCTAAGGAGGGAAACTAAGTAATCCAGTTATATTTACAGCACTATTATAACAAGTAGGTTTTTATAATTAAAAAGAGATGATTTAACAAGAAATTAAATATATCTTACATTCAGTACAAAACTATCCCCCATCTTGGGTGAGAAGGAGACATTATAAAGGGGCATGGTGAAACGGTTAGTGATGGACATACTCATCCTGATTGTGGTGACGGTGTCAAGGATGTTTAAATATGTCAAAACTGTACACTCATGCAGTCTATTACATGTCAATTATGCCTCAATAAAAGTTTTCTTGTCTTATAAATAAAAGAAAAAGGCTATAGAAGTCTAACTCTGCAAAGCAAACCAAGACACAATCAAACTAAAGAAGGGGACTTGAAAAGTTCATAGAAAAATGTATTAAAATAAAATGCATCTTTCTCACAAACTTTTTAAAGCCCTTGTACTTCTGATTCAGTACATAACACTTTACTTTTGTGTGGATATTTTTAAAAGTTTTATTGGCATTTCATCCACACATCGCATGATTCAATAGTTTAATCATATCAAGAATTGTACAATCATTACCACAATCGATTTTATAACAATTTTTTCTTCCTTGCATTCATTGTTATTTGTGTAATTATTTTAATTGTGGCAAAAATATACACAACAAAACATTCTCCAATCCAACAGCTTCACATGTATAATTCAATAGTAAATACTTTATATGTGACGATTTCTTGATATTTTTGTGGGTCTCTTGATCTAATGTTTAAAGATTTGATTTTTTTTTAATTAAGAAAAAATAACTTTATTTACAATATCCTCTTAAGGAAAGATGCAATACCATTTCAGGAGAACTTAAGTAGGAAACTGAAAGAAAGTACTTTAGCTGCTAAAATGATAATTGAAATATATTTCATTTTAACTATAAATATCATTATTAATTCTAATAGCTGTCTTTTAAATCTTCATTAAAAAGATTCTTTTCAAATCCAAATGACCCATAATTTGTAAAGGCCATCTACTTTTGAAGTTTTTATTATGGTACTTTAAATGGGGAATGGTGAGAAAGAAATGGAAGCCCATGTAAGGTTTTATTTACCATCAAATATTTTAAAATTTAACATATAAATGTAAAGATTTGCACAAAAATTTTTTTTTTTTGCCATCAGGTCAAATCTAACTCATCATGACCCCATAGGACAGAGTAGAACTGGCTCATAATTTTCAAGGCCGTAATCTTTACCTAAGTAAATTGCTACATCTTACTCCTGGAGTTCAAACTGCCTATTATCTTTTGGCTACTAGGTGGAACAGACAGGTAACCATTACACCACCAAGGCTCCTTAAAAGATTAATACTAAGAAGAAAGTACTGATAAGAAAAATGTTATAAACGTCAATTATAATTCATTTCAAATGTTCATTTACTTACATCTTAGCACTTCAACAATCAAATCAACATCAGTGCTGAGTTTCTTGATATGATCAAGGTTCGCTACTGTTGTAATTGGCACATACTGATCACTATCCATTTGTGATATAAGATACATATCACTAGCAAGATTCTCCCTGTTGAAAGAAAAAATGCGTTGTTTTATTAACACGAATATTTCCTTACAAGGAAGTTTTATTTATAGCAATATTCATTTCACATGTGATATTACTGTTCTAGGGCATGGTTTTGTAGTTAAAGCTGTGTTCAAATCTCGTTATGTTTTCATATACTACCTCAGGTAAAAATTCTCAAGTTTTAAAAAGTATTTGAGTAGTTTACTAAATACACACACACAGCCATCAAGTTGGTTCTGACTCACAGTGACCCTAAAGGACAGGGCAGAACTGTGGGCGCATGAGACTGTAACTCTATGGGAATTGAAAACCTATCTTGCTCCCCAGGAGCAGATAGTAGTTTTGACCTCTTGACCTTGTGGCTGACAACCTAACTCATAACCACTATTTAAGTGGTTGAATGCACAAGTAAAGCCAGTGACAAGGTTGATGCTCAATTGTGCTGTACAGTCTAGAACACCTGCTCAAGTTGCTGCAAATCTAATTCTGTGTGTCCTAGAAGCTAGTGATAAAAAGAAGGAAAAACAAGTAATAACATTACCCACAGGGCATTAAATGTTATTTTAAGCCAGTAGAGAATAGGTGAGTATTAGTCATTTCCTGGTATTCTGCTCTAAGATAAATATTCCTGATGAGTTTTCATAAAGACGACAATATGCAATGCAGTGAACAAGGCTCTCAAAAAGTCTCAAAAACTAAATACAATAATAGGTTTCACAGGACCTCTTCCTGCAATGTCTTTCAATCTTGAAGTTCAATAGAGGTAATTGATTTGTAGCATGAAATGCTGTTTTGTTTCCCTTATCTTGGCTAGTCATCGCTCCTATGGCATGATTCTGGCCACATAAGGAACAGATAAGGGTTTGTGAATGACATAGGGCTATGTTTTTCAATTTATCAAGAAAACATTTTTTTAACTTAAGGAATGTCACTATACAATGTATGAATTTATGAATATGAAAATGGAAGAACACCATGGCATGGTCTGTCACTTCCCACTTCATGCAATCCCGCTATATGGAGGCAGACCTCCTCAGACACCTCTGTGCAATCTTAAGGACTCCAAAGAAAACATCTGGGAAAAAATCATTATTGATAGAAATTTCAGGATGGTCAATTACCCATATCCAGTTTTGTGGTTCAAGCTTTAATGGTTTTACCATACTTTTCATAAAAGGCATCATTCACCACTGGAGCCTTGCAGAGGGGTCTCGGGGAGGAGATGAGCCAGTC